AAAAACTCTAACTCTTCTTCGCTTTCCTTAAAAAGGAGTATTTCGGATATTGTAAATTCATTCTCAATTACGTTACATAAAAAAGGGTTTATGAAGTTTGCAAACGTACATTTAAATAATTTTAAATCGGCGAATCTTATTCAAAATCTGCTCCTTAATCCTCTGCAATATTTTCTTCTAGCCATGGGAAATTATGAAACATTCTTTTTTTTTTGAGAACAAACATTCGTAGCTTAGCTTCAAAACTTAAATTAATTTGCGACAAATCAAAAACATTTTTATTCTCTCCTTGTAGGGACATGTTCAAGTTTTGCAATGATTCTTTGTAAAGACCATTGAGTCTGAAAGCCAATTTTCATTCTCCGATTTCGGGTAATGTTCCGATCTCAATTTGTGTATTTGTATATAAAGAGAATAAAATAAAAAAATAACACAATGGAAAAGAATGTCCAGCGACATTCATGTATTTTAAAAAGTAAAAAGAGCCAAAATGTTCTAAGCAAAGAGCAAGTAAAAAGAGCCGCACTTTGCTTAGCAAAGGGCCGCATTTGGCTCAAAGAGCCGCGTTTGACCACCGTTGTAATATCAAATACATGGAAAACCTTGAACGACCCCTAAATAATTTTTTATTTCGTAATAAAAAAGGGGTATGGTTTTTCCGATATAAATCAATCTTAGGGGGTGAGAGCATTAAAATTACAACTTTACTTTTTACGTGAAGTTTTGGGCCACCCTATTGTATGCATTTATATGTTTATAAATTTCGCACAAATTTCTATGTACAAGTTGCGTGGAGGAGTCTTTAATGCTATGTAGATGTGTATGCATATACATATGTACATATGTATGCATTTGCTTGCCGTAAACATCATTCATACATTTGTTATTCTTACTCCAACTCATTTAAATGTTTTTTGTTTATACATACATAAGGTCATTCATTAATACATACATGTATGTGCAAGCAAATCAAATTAACAGATGCCCACAGCACAAAAGTGAAGACACCTAATCAAAATTCATTGATGAATAAGGCTTGGGACTAGCCCATCTCCAAACTGGTAATTATGGTGATGAATAAATTCTCTGCACTTATAGGCGTATATGAGCCATTCTTTTTGAAGCAGGACGGATTTCGTAAAAAAAATTATATCATATCTCCGATTCGCTTAAAAGTTTTGTTATGGATTCTAAACATAAAATAAATTAACACGTATTCGAGGCATTTTTTATTTCTTCGGAGATGTGATATGTCAAAGTTTGGTGGTTTGGTTCGTGGTTCTGACTAATCACCTACTTCTTTATGATTGTCCTAAAGCTAATAGGGGTTAAAAATTACACCATCGTAATCCTTGTTTAATTCTCTTTAAAAAACATGGTTAAAAAAATTGGCCTTTTTCAAGAACTATTTTTAAAATATATTTTTTCTTTATGATGGGATGTATGCGAATCAACACTTTTTTGTAATTTGTTTTCGAAAACTTATCTTGAGATATATTTAGAAAGGTGTTAAAAATCGGGTTTTTCCAGAAATTTAAATTTCATTGCGGATTCCGATAGTATACCTATCCAGAAATAAAATTTGTACGGAACGATTTTTCTTTAAGGCGACATACCCCTAGAAATGGGCTTGGTAATTGTAGGACTAAATTTAGCAAAACGCAGATTTGATTGCGGATTTTGGCAGAAGTCTCTATGAGAAGCACAACCCGAGATATTGGTTTGAAAAAGTACATGATTAGTCAGAATCATGAAAAAATCCAAACTTTCACAGATCATATCTACGAAGAAAAAAAAACCCTCGAATACGTGTTAGCTTATTTCATGTAAAGAACCCATAAATAAAATTTGAAGCGAATCGAAAGTGTGACACCAAATTTGGTGTCCGATATGAAAAAGAATGCCTCATATAAATATGTACATATGCACGTACATACATAGGTATGTATGTACATATAAATATCCATATGTATATATGGACGTTTACAAATAGTATTTGTATAACCGGCCTTACCACGAATTCCATGTGAACAAATATTCCCAAGAATTATAAAGCAAAACAAAACCAAGTTGTCCAAATGTATTTTTGTGTTGCCAGCTAAATTATGGGAACAAGATAGAAATAAGTATGTAGCATGTTTCCATCTTTAAAAGACTCTGCAAAGGCATTTGGTTTACTCAAGAAAACAATCTGGTGGAGCATTGTGGTTTCGAAATTTCAGCGATTTTGGAAAAAAATTAATTACCAACTGTTGAATATAAAATACCTGGTGGCTCACGCGGCCCGAAACAATTTGGCCAAAAAAATAAAATATCCGCATTCGAAAGATTCGCAATATTTTGGTGAATGCCACAACATACATACATAGCTGTGTTGTGTCATCCCTTTCCAAGCTTGACATCTCCGATAAACTTATTTTCCAAATAATGTTACTTCTTTTTAAGGGATTGTTATTAATATCAATTTTGCGTAAATTAGCGTCCTTAAATTTCGAAATATCGAAGTTTCAAGCATTTTAGTCTGATTTCAATAATTTTCAGCGTTTTGATTTTATATGGCAAGCACAATAATCATACCGAGTTTGGTAGTTAATAAAATATCGCAGTTTTCGAGGAGTGCACAAGTGCGCTCGGGTATAAAAAATATTCCGACGAATTGATAACCTTCACCCTTTTGAGCAGTCGGTTAAAAATAAATGAAAATTTTATTGGCCGTGGGACTCGAATCACCGACCTCGCGGCTCGTTAATCCACTTTCTGCCATATATCAAGGCACAATTTTGATCAGATCAACTGCGCCGTTAATCCGGAATCTTATGGAATGTAAATGTTTATAAAGGTGCGTATGTTAAGCTCAATAAAAAAAGAGGCGGGACTTTTAAAAATTAGATGAAGAATTCTGAAATTCTACCATTTAATGCAATACAATTTAAACATTAGAAAAGCAAGCTTTATGAGATATTTATAACATGGCGCAAAGCTCAGTTACCCGACATTGGACGAATATACTTTTGCATGCACAATAGCCCTATTGGAGGCAGTGCTTACGCTACTCATATCTATTTATTCATATGTGGGGGAAATAATAAAATATACAAAATTTAATGATTTGGCTGGCAAACAGCAACTTTTTTTGATATGGAAAATTATTTTGCACAAGCCTCTAGGCCTATGCAGGATTAGAACTACGGAAGTGACGCAAAAAGTCGTAGCAGAAAATAAAATTACCTAATAGATTTTTATACCCGAGCGCACTTGTGCACATATATAGACAAATGTATACATAAATGCTCAGAACGAAAAAAGATGTCGATTAAGCCTTGTCTGTCTATCCGTTTGTCCGCCGGTGTACATGATAACTCGGGCAAAAACTGAGATATCTTAACAAAATTTGGTATGTAGGTTGCCCTTTATCCAAGGTAGGTTGCTATTGAAAATGGGCGAACCACGCCCACTTCCCATATAACGATAATTTCGAAAAATGCAAAAACTGCTATATTTCAGAAAATATTGGATCCAAATTGTTGAAAATTAGTATGTGAAGTAGAATTGTGGAAAAAATTATATTATTGTGAAAGTTTTGGAAAATGGGCGTGACCCCGCCCACTTATGATGAAATGCTGTATCTCAGTAGCTGCTTCACAAATCCGTACCAAACTTGGTACGAGTCTTGCCTAAGGCCTTGCTAAGAAATTTGTTGAAACTCTTTGAAATCGGGCAATAAACACGCCCACCTTCCATATAACGGTAATTTACAGAAAGTAGAAATCTGCGATTAATCTTTAACTACTGATTGCGATAACGGCTTAGCAGAAAATTAGATTATTATACATTTTTGGACAATGGGCGTGGCGCCGCCCACTCATGGCCACAAATGTGTACTCGGTAACCGATTTCTCAATTTCTACCAAACTTGGTGCACTTAATAACCTTGGTACGAAATAGCAATTCGTTGAAAATTATGCAAATCGGACTAAAACTGCACCCGCTTCCTGTATATAGGTAAATTTCAGATAACTTCAGAAATAATAAATTTCAATAATTGAGGACGCTTATTTACACCAAGTTAATATTAACAACAATCTCTTAACAATAAATAAGACTATAGACTTTTAGGAATTGAGCGTGGCACCGCCCACTTTATGACTACAAAGGTGTATCTCGGTAAGCACTTTATCGATTTCTACCAAACTTGGTTCAATTATACCATTAAGAGCCGGTTGCTCAAAGCCTGGTTAACACTCTGTTATATGCATGGAGTCGAAAACGTCGATAACGGAGATTAGTGTCAACCAGGCTTTGAGCAACCGGCCCTAAGTCTAACTCAGCATATTATAGAAAACGTTTGAAATCGGGAAAAACACCCCCGCTTATCATGCAAAGGTAGTTTAGAGAAAGTTGAAACGACGGTATTTGATTTCTGCGCCGGATAGGTATATACAATTCGGTTTCGCCCGAACTTATACTTCTCTACTTGTTATATATGCATTAATATGCTTTTTCTCGAAATTTTGTGGAAAAGACCTAAAATAAACCCTGAAAATTTGAGCCCTTAATATTAATGTTAAGTGCTCGACCAAGGCGTGCAAAGAATTCCCCATTCAAAATACACGTAAACTTTGAGTTTTTTTCTTCAAAAGTATACAGCTCAGAAGCATTTTATGGTATAATCTTGGTCAATGAAGGGGTATCTTCAGATCTGAATGCTCTACAAAAGTGTCCATTACGGTGGTACCCTAACTCCCACCAGTTAAGCTAACTAGAAATTTTTAAAGGCAAATATTTAAATAAGATAGTGTCAAGTCTTTATTCAGGTTTTTATTACTACACCTGGTATGATTTCACCATGGGTTTTGTTTAAATTATGTTTATGTTATTATTTTTACCAACATATGTGTTTTTGCTACTGTTTACTAAACAATAAAAACACAGTTTGTCGACTTTCAGAAATCAGTCATAAACCCTTACGATTACTTCATTATGAGAGATATAAATAGTACCTAAAAACACATGTATTTGTATAATTGCAGATGTCCAGTTGGTACAATCGAAGAAGGAGTGAGGTGATCAAATCTTCATGCAGCTTTGATTTACATACGATCAAGGTGTTTGAGTTATTTCAGTGTTTTTACTATTTAATTAGATATGTGCGTACATAAGTATGTACGTGCTCCACTGAGTTTGGTTAAGTTTTTAATGCCCATAAATTTTAATGAAACCATTTGTTTTAAATATTTACGTTGATCACAACAAAACACAAAACAAAAGCCCAAAGCCGTTTTACGACAAAACAACGAATTTAAAAGTGGACCGAATAACGAATATCACCGCACATAACGACCGACAGCCACAATGCCTACTATCAAACTAAACAACCGACCAAGAGTAGCAGGAACGCAATCATGTTCAATTCAAACTAGCAACAAGTTTTGCAGCCACTGCAGCAACATAAAAATTGATTTGGCACAGTGCTGCCACTCAGCAATGTATTTTACCTTCCAAAACACTTCAAAATCTACCAAAAGTAAAGTTTTGTGAACTAAAAGATTTGGCCGGCCAACGGTATGCCATCCAGTATTCATCGATGTTTGATTCTTCTCCTTTAAACCAAGTTTTTTTTTCTTGAATTTACGCTTTGCTCTAATCCATCATATTATCCGATTACTGTCGGATATGACAGTGCAGCTTTAAATAGATTACGTTTCGTAAACCAAAATGGTCAGAATGAAAGAGTAATCGATTAAGCTCTGAATGTTTGTCCATCCGTCCGTCCCTCTGTCTGTGCACATGATAACTCTAGTTAAAATTGAGATATCTTAACGAAACTTGGTACGTGGATTTCCCATCCCATATAACGGTAATTTAGAGAAATACGCGATAAATTAGTAACTACTAAACATAATTTACTCACAATTTATGTTTTCAATAATTCTTTAGCAAAAAAAACGATTATACGTAAGTTTTCAAATAAAATGTTCATATTAGAGACAATTTACGTTGGCATGAAATATAACATATCTGCGAAGTTTCAAGAGTGCACCACGCATTTAGAAAATGCCAGCATGCAGAATATCTGTCGCAGCTATTTTGTAATATCTGAAATTTTACAATTCTTTTAATTTTAATAATATAAAAGTACGTTTTCACGAGCTTCAAATTGGGAAATTTCGACTTTCACTTTCAATTTGAAATTGTAAATATTCACATGACAAATTTCAATTTCAAAACCAATTTCAATCACATTTGTTTACCAAATAAATAAATAATAATTCGTCGGAATATTTTTTACTTTCATTTTATTTTTTTATATATGTTACCGCATAACTTTGGACCACGTTGACGGATTTCAATAATTCTTTTTTTAAACGAAAGGTGTTACCTCACAGGTGGCCCCATACTATCCGATTAGATCCGATCTTTGGATCATGAAGAAATTAACGACAATCTTGATTTTTTATAAGAGATTTTGTTTTTTCTTGTTGGGCGTATAAATTATTCAAAGTTATAAGACTTCCAAGTGGCCAAATTTAATATTTATTTTTCAAATTCACCCAAATTGAGACACCATCACAATTTCATCTGATATTTTTTTATATGGCCAAATTGAGAAACATTACACAATTTCAAGCTGAAATTGAGAATGGTGCCCAAATTACGAAATTCAAGGCTCGTGGAAACGTGCTTTAAGTTACTTCAAAATGTTAAAAGCGTGATATTGACAGCGTAACCATGAAATATCCGAAAATGAAAGTGGTGTACAAACCAGGGAAATACATGCCGATAACTGATTGTTTATCACGGGCGCAATCACCAGTAGTTGGGGAATTAGACGATTTGTCAGGCGTTATACATTCAGTTACGAAGACGGTGTGTGGTACTGAAAAAATTATAATTTTTATCGAACAGTCATTGAGAAAGATGAAAAGTATAATCGCATTATCAAATATGTACGGAATGGTTGGCCAAAATGCCATCAACTAGATGATTGCAGTCAACAGTTATATAAGTACAAAGCATTGTTGCATTTAGAAAATGGACTTCTTTTTTTGAAGCACCGTTTGGTGATTCCTAATGAATTACAACGTAACTCGGTGCATGCGGCACATCTGGGCATTGAAAAATGCTTGCTAGGGCTAGACTGCTGTACTTTTGGCCAGGAATGAACAAACAAATCAGATATCGCACCGAATCGTGCGCTATATGTGAGAAAGTTGAAACGAGAAGAACCACCAAGATATCCATTCCATATCGTGGCTATGGATTTGTTTGAATACGGGGGACTTGACTTTGTGGCACTTATTGATTCATACTCAAGTTTTTTAGTGAGCATTCAGATTAGGGATAAGACGTCGAAGCATAATATTGAAAGCATTCAAGGCGTGTTTAACAAGGTAGGGTATCCGGCAGATTTCCTTCGATTTGCGATACCGCAAAGTAATGGCTTACAGGAAAAGGCGTTGCTATAGCAAAAAGCCTTTTAAAACGTTGCTAGGAAGCAAGCATGGTTGATCAATTGCAGTACCGGTTTCTAGAGTGTAATACGACCTGTGGCCAGTATGGGGCTAACGCCTTCGGAACTATTTTTCGGTAGACTCGTTAAGACAATATTGCCAGTATCGCCCGCATTACTGGTCAGGAACAACATCCCGGAATTCAGCATTAAATAAAAAATTGGAAAAATAAAAGAAAGACAAAAAGTTGTTATGATCGGAAAGCGAAATCATTACCGGTATTAAATGTAGGTAATTCAGTTATGTTTCAAAAGAATGGGAAGGACGGACTTATGGGACTATCATTGAAAATGTAATCCTGGTCGTATATCGTCCGAGACATTTTTGATAATAGTTATAGGCGAAATCGAAGATTTAATGCTAAATCCAATAACTGTAGATTAAATCCAAGTGATATATTATTAGAGGATAATGATAAGGACAATTGAGGCTAAGGACAAATCAAAGTGCCCCATCACTGATAGGAAATCAATCTTTAGGTGATAGACAGATGATTAATCAAAAATTCCAGCTGTACATGATACAACATCGCATCATCGGATGAACAGCTGGCAGTACTGATTCGGAAGGCGACTCAGAAAATAGAAGTCAGGAGCAGGCATCAGTAAAAACACGGAGTGGTCGAGTAATTCGTCCACCTCGAAGATATGAACGTCGTGTAGTCTGAGTGCTGTTTTCTGCACGCGTTGTTTGGTACAAATACACTTTAATTAAAAAATGTATGTTTAAATTCGCACATTTTAAGATAGGTTACCAGTTTCCTCTCTTAATGAATGCAAATTTACACTCCGTGTTAATTAAATAAAACACTGCTTGGTTACTTTTGCTATTATATGGGTGACGTAGAACAAATTTCAATTTTTTTTTTAATTATAAACAATTATTGTTACCAATTTCACCGTTTACACATAAAATGTTTAAAATTTCCTCTAAAAAATTTATGTTTAAATATAGGCATACAAAGAGAGGTAACCAGTTTCCTCCCCTAATTTGTGCGAAATTAAACAGTCTGTTTTCTTTTACATACCAAATTTGTCACGTAAAGAAAAATTACACACAAAGTGTTTAAAATTGAGTAAATATGAGCACTTACTATTTATTATTTGTAAAAAATATATTTCTACTTTCAAAATGTTAGTAATTTTAAACATTTCATGTGTATATTTTAAACCACTCATGTTCAAAATCAAATCTTGAACATCTTGTGCGTTTATTCGCACAGATTCTGGTTGAAAAATAATAACTTTTCAGTAGAAGACTTACATGCACTTTTTAGAGTGTACATAATAATCAATGCCATCATATCAGCACCGTTAGTTCGATTTTCTAAAATGAGGTATCAAATTAAAGATTGGACAGCAGATGTGCATGAGAGTTTTACTTTTTTGAAAAGATTTGCCACCTTTTAAAAAATTATATTCAAATTATTAAAGAAAAATCAATTATTTCAAAACAGGGTATCAATCGAAATGATTTTGAAAAGCTCTGTATCTTAACTCATCTTCAGGAGGTTTGCCTTCTTCTTCTTCTTCTTCTGTTTTGGCCCCGTAACCGCCTAAGCGATTTTGGCCGAGCTCAGCAAAGCACGCCAGTCGTTTCTCTTCTGTGCCTGCTGACGCCAATTCGAAACGCCAAGTGAAGCCAAGTCCTTCCCCACCTGATCTCTCCATCGCAGTAGGGGCCTCCCTCTTCCTCTGCTACCACCAGCGGGTTCCCACTTGAATACTTTCAGAGCTGGAGCGTCGGTGTCAATTCGAATCATATCAGCACCGTTAGTTCGATTTTCTAAAATGAGGTATCAAATTANACTCGCCGTCGCCAACGCGTAAAGGACCGTAAATCTTCCGCAAAATCTTTCTCTCAAACACCCCAAGAGCCGCCTCATCGGATGTTGTCATTGTCCATGCTTCTGCGCCATATACCAGCACGGGCATGATGAGTGATTTATAATGTGGTTTTCGTACGTCGAANGGCAAGAGTGATTCTGCGTTGGATTTCAATGCTGACATTATTATCGGTGTTAATGCTGGTTCCCAAGTAAACGAAATTCTCTACTTTCTCGAAATTGTAATTGTCAGCAGTGACGTGGGTGCCAAGGCGCGAATGTGCTGACTGTTTGATGACAGGAGATACTTCGTCTTGTCCTCGTTTACCACCAGACCCATTCGCTTTGCTTCCTTATCCAACCTGAAAAAGGCAGAACAGACTTCGCGGTTTTTGTTACCGAAGATGTCGATGTCATCGGTATAAGCCAGAAATTGCATGCTCTTGCAGTAAATTGTTCCTGAGCGGTTCAGTTCTGCAGCTCTTATTATCTTCTTCAACATCAGATTAAAGAAGTCACATGAAAGGGAGTCGCCCTGTCTGAAAGCCCGTTTGGTGGCGAACGGCTCAAATTCAATTTGTATTAAGGGAAATAAAAAAGATAAATATGTACCAATATATGGGTGTCAAGAGGAGAGGGTTTCAGAAGGTAGTAGTTTGAAAATATTTAGAAGAGGGTTGCCACCTGCTAGAAATTGTGAATTTAGTTAACTTACACACAAGTTATATGGAATATAAAAATATGGATGTCAAACGAAATTGTTAATAAATCTTTACTTTGAGCACTAATAATATTTTTGAGGTGTTGCAACATGTTTTGTGCTACTTGAGTGGAAGGGATAGGAAGGCACTGGAAAGGATAGGAAGGCATTAGATGCGATAGGAAGGCATTGGAAGGGCCAGATAAAGCACTAATATTTTGTCTAGGCAATTTTTATACATAAGTGTACATATACTTAATACGCGAAGGGACTTTTTGTCCAGGACATAACTGGCTTTGAAATGCTTTGTTTCT